TTCGTGTGACAAAGAATTTGTGTAGAGTTCAATTTGCAATCGAATAAGTATCATGTTTTATCTTACATGTTAATGATTATTACTGTGGTGTTCATTAAGGGATATCGGTTTTCTGACCACTGAAGAAACTTCTTGTCTTTCATGATGAGACGTCGCGTCTCTTCGAAATGAAGCAGACCTACTAATTCACATGGCTCATTTCGAATGATTTGGGTTGTCGTTTCTGGTTAACGTTTTATTGAGCAATTAGTTTTCTATGGAATGGTTGCTCTGAACTCATGACTCATCCATCAAATTTATCCGGTCTTCTCATAGACACTGGCCACAGAGCGGCTTCTATCTTACATAGTTTCACAATTTTATGTAAATTCGGACATTTCAGAAATTTTGATTATAAGGTTGACTTATTACACATGATGAATACAGATAGGATATTATGATGCGATTGCTAACATTAAAAACATTCTCGACATACTCTCACACACACACCATTAATAATCTCTTGTTTATTGAAGACTAATTTTCAGAGAGAGATAATTTCCAGTCATTCCTGTGAGAAGTCATCATTAGTAGAGTTTAGCGATTTGAAGACGTGAGGCATTTATTCGCCAATAGGGTAATACAGTAAATTGACTGAAGTGGGAGAAAAAAAACCACTAGATGACGATATCGTGGTTTATAGATTAGACATTGGAGGGTTACTTGTGGATCGTGGATTTGATACTTAGTAGAATTATCTCGACGAACAGTGTTGTTTGGTTGGTGCTCACTGTGTTGCATTGAAGGATGCTGATTCTTCTCTTGTAAGTTTTGAGGTTCATTGATGCAGAAGCTGTTACTACACTGACTGTTTCCAGTTGCTCTGTTTCTGTGTGTAAGATCGAATTGCCACACCTTCTTCAAAGTCCAAATCGTCCAGTCGCTTCCAAGCTCTTCTTCCCTTTGTGTATGTTGATAACTACATCTGCTGAGGTTGCTGCTACACTGGTCGTCTTCCATTGCATTCGTTGTTGCGGGTGCGATCGAATAGACAAGTCAGCTGCGTCGTAGTTGTCAATCATAGGCAGTCCCCTTCCACCAGCTACTGACGTCTTCATAATCCAGTTGATTATCAAGAGAAAGTGAAAGGGTGAGAGTAAGCAACCTTGCATGAAACAGATCTTTACTTTGAACGAGTCTGACCGCTGTCTTCCAAACAGTCATCATTTTAAATGCATCAACATTGTCTTTTCATCCATTCATTTCTCCAAACTAAAATTAACAGCTTCAAGTTTTAAACACTTATGATTACGTCACTCTTGAAACAGTTATTTATTCTGAACAATTACCATTTCATTACTCTAAACAGTATTTATTTTCAAGTAAGCTAAATGGTTTATTTACATTATGGGGTTGTGAAGACGGCTCAGTGGTCCGATGGTTAAGCGTTCGCGCACAATACCCAAGGTCCTAGGTTCGAATCCTGCGGAGTGCAGGGATCATGGGTGCGCACTGCTGAGGAGTCCCATACCAGGACGAAATGGCTGTCCGGTGCTTCCAGGTTTCTAACGGTGGTCCAACATTGGTGGATTCATGGTTTCAAAAATGTGCAGGTGGTTTATGTACTGCACTCTTGAGATCAACTTTATCTGTCTCAGAACTTTTTAATTGAACTCCATAATCAAATCACCTCAAACCTGTTTATGCACAGATAACTGCACATCTATACAAAGTTATTATTTTCAATCTTTGTTACTCTGATTGCTTCTGTCATTACTTCACAATTCATGATTACACTCCCTTAATCTTGTATTTTTGATAGGAGCTTACGAGCAATCACAAAATGTATAATGAATTCCTCAGAATATACTTTTAATTTGTTTCTGGATTTATTCAGTCACATTGTGGTTGAAAATATAAACGATTAAATTGAAAGTATTGAGATATTCACTGTAATTTGTTTTGTAATCTAGATAACGCCTTTCATCCTTTTTTCGACTCATCAACTCTATGTACCTACATCCTGAGATTGATGTGCATTCCGGGACTAGAGTGGTTTAGTCTTTGTTTCAAGCACCGTCACGTCATCCATTCAGCTACAAAGCTCAGGTGGTCATTCTTGTGCGCAATGAGTGAATTAATTAATCAGTATTTTCAGGAGGGCATTAATCACGCATCAAGAAATTTATTTAACCAGAAGCACTTCTGGGCAAAGAATCTTGTGACAACTACAAACAATAACAAACTTCGATATACTTTACTTCGGTAGACAGCTCACAGACTCGTTCTAAGTGAAGACTGGTGTCAGGAAAGGTTGCCTACTATCAGTTGATCACTTTCTCTTAGTAATCGACAGGATTATGAAGACGTCAACATCTGAAGGGGAAGAATGGCATACAATGGGCAGCTAGGATGCAGCTTAACGATCTGGACTTCGCAGATGACCTGGATTTTCTATCGCACACGCAACAACAAATGCAAGAGAAAATGACCAGTGTAGCAGCAGTTTCTGCAGCATTAGGTCTCAACATACATAAAGGGAAGAGCAAGATTCTACGATTGAGCAAAACGTGCGCCAACTAAATCACACTTGATGGACACACCTTGGACGATGTCAACAATTTTACATATCTTGGTAGCATCATAAACAACTAAGGTGGATCCGATGCAGATGTGAGGGCGCGGATCGGCAAAACCAAGGCTGCATTTCCACAATTGAAAAATATCTGGAACTCCAAACAAATATCAATCAATACCAAAATCAGGATTTTCAATACAAATGTCAAGAAAGTTCTACTGTATGGAACAGAAACTTGGAGAACTACGAAAGCCATCATCCAGAAGATACAAGTGTTTATTAACAGTTGTCTACGCAAAATACTTCTGATTTGTTGTTCAGACACTATCAGCAACAACTTACTGTGGGAGAAAACAAAACAGATTCCAGTGGAGGAGGAAATCAGGAAGAAGTGGTGGAAGTGGATAGGATACACATTGCGGAAAGCACCTAACTGCATCACAAGACAAGCCTCTTGCTGGAACCCTCAAGGTCGAAGGAAAAGAGGAAGGCCAAAGAACATATTACGCCGAGAAATAAAGAGAGACATGAGAAGAATGAACAAAACTCGGCAAGTACTAGAAAGGAAAGCCCAATACAGAGTTGTTTGGAGAATCCTGGTCGGCAGCCTATGATCTACGAAGGATGACAGACGAAAGTCAGTAAATATTTAACTTTTCTGGCGTTATTCGTCCTTATTGTCACTTTACATCAATGACACAAATGAATGTAAAAGGGCAAACTCACGAACATAACATCTTAGTGTAATGATAGAATATGGTGTTGTATGAAAAGGGAGAGATTAACGGGACCAAAATACAGCGCTTTGAGATAATGAACACATTGTTTGTCAATGTCTATACACTTGATTGCAAATAAGAGATAATTAGCATTTAACTCTTTAGTCGAACATTACAAATTCATGAAATTCTCTTTTTCTAGTCAACACTACTGTAATTAAATTAATTCAGTAGATAACATCGTTAGAAAACAAAGATTAAATACCTAACAGGAAGTGAAGAACACTAGACAGGGGTTTACTTTAGCATGGAACTCTCTGACATTGTTTGTCATATCCACAATCCACAAGTAACCCTGCTAATTTCTAATCTATAAACCACGATATCGCCATCTAGTGGTTTTATTTCTCCCACTTCAGTCAATGTGTGGTGTGTGCTACTTATACGAACGATATAAGTAGTATAAGAAGGGACGTGAAAGAAGAAGTCGCACGGTCAGAAGAGGAAAACAGAAAGTAAATGGAGCAAAAGCAAGAAGTAAATGGAGTACCAACAGAGGAAGGAAAGGAAGCAACAACAGGAATGGAAAAAGGATGGAGCGTTGAAAGTCAGGACTCAAAGATGGTATGCAAATAGAGTGTTCAATGTAATGTTTTCGTTTTTAATTGACTCAGAGTGTAAACCTACTTAAAACAATTTTCCGCGCCCGCCTCGGTCTTCTCAAATGTAATAAATTCCCCCGTTTTTGAGTAAATGCATCGCGTCTTCACATGGATAAACTCTACTAATGATGACTTCTCACTGGATCACTGGGAAATTATCTCTCTCACAATCAGTCTTCAATAAACAAGAGATCATTATTGGTGTGAGTGAGAGTTTGTCGAGATTTTGTTTTGAATTCTAAAATTTGCATCACAATTTCCTATCTGTATTCACCATGTGTAATAAATAAGTTAACCTTATAATGAAACTTTTGAAATGTCCGAATTTACGTAAAATTGTGAAACTATGTAAGATAGAAGCCGCTCTGTGGCCGTTGTCGATGCGAATACCGGATGAATTTGATGGGTGAGTCATGAGTTTTTGGAGCGACCATTCCATAGAAAAGTAACTCCTAAAAATACGCTCACCAGAAGCGATAACTCAAATCATTCAAAATCTACACTGTGAATTAGTAGGTCTGCTTCATTTCCAAGAGTTTTCCACGTCTCATGATGTAATACAAGAAGTTTCTTCAAAAGTCACAAAACCGATATCCCTTAATGAACACCACAGTAATAATCATTAACATGTGAGGTAAAACATGATACATATTCGATTACAATTGAACTTTACACAAATTCTTTGTCACAGAAACAATATGAAAATGTATGCCTTTTATATTTGATACAAAGTTATCCGGTCATTTTACAATCTAAATACTGATTATTTATATAATCGGTGACATTAAGAATGCCAGTTTCGAGTTGAACTTGAATAATCACTGCGCACTGTTAATGATTGTATGTGTTTATTTTTAGGGGTGTATTGTTCAGTTGAACACATTTTAATCACTACTGTTCATGTAAAAAGTCTTAATCACTGAAATTCTGTTTCGTTTTTATAATTGTTTCCATTGGGTAAATTGTGTTATTTCACTGACGAAAATTATTATCAGTGTATGAGAAAACTTTTCGTTTGGGCCAATAAGTGTGTATGGTATTGATTTAACCTAACTGCAACCTTAGAATCGTAAATATATATAAAGATATATGTATGTTGAAGTGGGTAACATAATTCGGTATATGGAAAGTGTGGTTTTCTAACAGGTCAGTGTTAATTTGTGACTATTTTGTTGGTAAGATGTTGATAAATGTTGTTTTCAGTTTACTTCATTCAAAGTTGAATATTTAGACGATGAAGTGATGATCAGTATGAGGAGGAATTAGTTTGTCATGATTTGAACATGTAGAAATGATAAGAACTGATATGCTTGACTGTTTGTTTCGTTTGATTGACAATGGTAATCCAGTCAAGTACTTATTGTTTTGATTTGTCTCTTGATTTTGGAATGTTGCACAAAAAGGTATGATTTGGCTGCTTTGCATGTTAGTAGGTGGATGTGTCTCATGACTTCCGAAGATAATCGCTTTTCCTCATGTGACGTGTTGACGCTTCGAAATGCTGATCTTCTAACTCGCAGTGTCGAGTTGAACTGATTTGAATTAATTTTAGCGGTTAGCAGATTGTTTGCGAGTTAGTTTTCTACCGAATGTGTTCGTTAACTTCATGCCAATGTCTGCTATACTTTGTCCAGTCTTGTGAACGACACTGGTCTCAGAGAGTCTGCTGTGGTAGTTGTGTAATATTCAGCTAATTATTTTCTTGTATATATTTCTCCGTAAAATAATATCATGAACTGAATACACATGCCACTATAGAACATTTATCAGGATAATTTATTAATGTGAACATTGTAGACATCGATGACAGTTTGAATGAATAGTGTGTAAGTAATTGTTAATGTTGAAAGAATTTCTATTGACCTACACTGCAGATTATTTTCGACTACATTGAATGTCCATTACTTTTCCAACTTTTATCACGTGTATCGTATACAGCACTTTCGATTATGTTTCTGTTCACCTCCTGAGTGCTGGTTAATGGAGTGTAGCTTTAGGAGACGCTTTTAGTTTATATTGAAAGCGTATTCCACTCGATGTCAGAAGATTGAATCGTTTTGATATATACTTGAGATTTACGAGTTAACTCAAATGCACTCTGGGTTGACGTTGTTAATGTCTAATCCTGATCAATCTTAGAATTTCGCACACATCCACATTTTCGATTTTCGTATCGGTAGTGCAGTGATTAGGCCTTTGCGTGCAAGAGTGGATATGTGGATTTGAATTGTGTTAGTAGCAAGAGTCGTGTATGAATACTGCCATTGATGATTCCTGTTTCAGCGCGACGTAGCCATCCATTGCTGCCAGATTTCTGATTGTAGTCTAACAATGATTTATTTATGGATGATTTCAAAGTCTATCTACAGTTTCCATGATCATCTAGATCGTAATTGTCAGAGAATGTCAATACGAATTATCTACATATTCAGTGTCCAATGTCTTAGTTAGGTTTATCTCACGTGAATGTCAGGTTGAATGATATTTTCAATTGCATATTCGCTTGACATGATCCGTGTTCATATTATTGAACGAAAGGTTTAATTGAACGACAATATATTTCTTGTGCACAGAGTGTAGTTTGATTCATTCGTGTCAACACTATCCACCTCGACTGAGTTGCAGAATAGTTTGATACTCCTTGTCACAGACTACTCCAAGAAACTCAGATGCACGTTAAGTACTCTGTTTAGATATTTCGAACCGTTCGCATTAGTGAACAATGGATGTAATCTGTAGACAATATAAAGTGTAGGTTGTTGATACTTGAAAACGGATTATTTGGATTTTTTTTTGAAGAGAAAATGACAAGTAACTGCTACTAATATTTAGAGTAAAGTAGTCTGTAAGCGAACTGAACTCACAAGCTTGAAACATGTTTGTCGAAGAATTTTGATTATCTGACATATGTCTCGTTAACAAACAAAAATGAAATCAGATTTACTGATACAGATTACAGAATTCGAAAATCTTTATACAAATTTCTCAATATATTATGAACAGACTTTTAATTAAAATTGTATGTTGACTCGTAATTGTTTCACTTCACCACAGATACGCATTCGTCGTTATTCATCATCGATCACAGTACACAATCACATATTGATTGATTCACTCACTCCAAAATCGTCCGCATCATGAATGTCAATTGTGTTCTTGCAGTCACATTCATCATACTTTCAATTCACACCTTCAATACTGCTGCTCAAATAAACACGAATCTAACAGCTACGTTTAGTATTGGCTTGGTAATGTCAACATACAATGTCATCAAACAATTAGTTTGGATGCCACCAACTCAATCGAACAATCAACCGACCAGTTCATTGTTATTCAATTTCACTGATTCTCAAACTACACTGGAGAAATGGATTGAAGTATCAGATACAGTTCGACCTGAAGGACGATCGAAAGCTACACTTGTACAACATATTGGATTTGTAAGTTCGAACACAATGTGTTTTGATGATAATGTTTAGAATTATCGATCAGCACTATTCTTCTATCTACTCAATCCTCAACCAAGTGGTGCATGTTTTGCTGGTGTTGATTATGTGCTGGATACGTGGAATTTGTCATATTATACCGGTATCATGATTGATCTACACAGACAGGGACAAAATTCCAATTTCAAATTGATCTTCTATGGTGATTGTTCGGAAATATTCACTTGTCCATCGTATGAATCATTTTTCGAGGTAATTTCCAATACACTGATGCTAATTAACTTTTACTGATAGACATCTGGAGAACGACAGCAGATTTCATTGCCGTTTACTGATTTTGCAGCATATTTCCGAGGGGAACGGAAATATGATTCACCACCTTTAAATTTAACTCAACTATCACGTTTCGGTATACAAGCGTATGGTGGTGTATTTGCTCCGAAGAAACAATTTGGTCCAGGTTCAATTGAAATATTCACCATTTCAACATATTGAGGAATTTTGCAATGTGAACTGAATGAAATTTGGGAGTGTTTAGACATTTGTTCGATTAGTTGATAGATTGTTAGTTTTCAATTTTTCGCATTATCTTGTGTGCTAGTTTAAAGAATAAATGTCATATTTTTCATAGCTACTTTGAAATTTTTATTCTTGGACTACCTGAATTTCATGTGAGTTTGATTGTTTTGAGAGATGATGTCATGTGTGTGTGGTTGACTGAATAAACTCGTCGATTACGGAGCACCTGTACGTAACTGTTTAGACGGTTGATGTCATGGAAAAATTTATGGTGTTTTACAAGGATGTATGAGGAGGTTTATTCAAAAGTTTTGAATTCGTATAAAGGAAACCGCATTTATATTTGCAAATGCAATTCGTTCTCACCCTGAACATACTTGAATAATATTATTTCATGATTCGATGAAAGAGTAATTTTTACTGATGTTATGTATGTTACGAGATTGTTTGTCAGTAGTATGCACTGGAGGCTCACCACGGAGTTGCTACAGTCAACAGATGAATGCAGAATGTCAAGAGTACATCGTAGTGTGAGAAATTGACAAGCATAACACTAGTGAGAGACGACGGCCTATCCCCGCCTACTTAGATTGAAGAACATGTAAATAGATGATTTTATCGTGTACATATTTCTGATCTGATTTTTATTTGTTCCTACATTACACCAAACCGAACGATACGTAGTCAACAATCGTACAAATCGAGCTTTTGATGGTATAGTGAGAGATGTATCAGTTCAGTAAAACATATTTGTAGTGCGGATTTCAAGTACATACCCAGCCCACTTAGCATTTGAGAAGGATTGTCTACATCCTGACTGCCGAACAATCTTGGTTTCTACCATTAGTCATTACAAGTGCGAGGGAAAATTTTACATGGTATAAATAATGTATTCTGGTTTGCTTATTCCTAGCAAGAGTCCTTTCCCTACAGGTTTAAGTCGTCAAATCCATGCTCATTGTTTCTCCACTATCCAGGTTTTGGAGTTTTAGTAGACCCTACAACGGCTCTAGACGGAATAGTCAGTGAAATTGAAATGAGAACGATTATTCAGAAAATTGATTTAAGTTGTCGATCTAGGTGTTTTACTCAGTAATTCACTGTGTCCATCAGACTAATTCTGCGAGTTACTTTACATACAGACGACTATGATGAACTAGTTACTGAATTGCTTTTATTCATCGGCGTTTTTCCGGTCGAGTGTATGTCAATGCGACAGCATCCAACATACACAAGACAGTGGAATCTTGACTAACGATTTGTGCTATTTGAAACCGGTTGATAGAATATGCCAGGCTTCATTGCTTAGCTGACTGATAGTTTTTGCAATTTGAAACCGGTTGATAGGTTATGCCAGGATTCTGGTGTTGTAATTTGCATTGATACCCAAATTTCATTGCTTAGCATTTGGTGAAGATTTACACGTTCAGAGGCTTGCAATCAACAGAAACGAAGAATTTTTAACAATATCAATACAAATGCACAAATAACTGACATGTTACTGTGTCATTGGATAGAGTTAATAACAGCAGGAATGTGGATTTATTGGTGATATGATTTAGATAATGCTGATGTAGCATGGAAGCATTTTTTTATGGTCTCAGAGTGATAAAGTCGGTTATTTTCTGTTCATGACCAGCTTCAATTGTGGTCGGTGTTCAGAAAAATCAATGAATTCATCCATCTATGCGCTGATTTCTCTACTGGATTAAATAATATTTTTCAATATCATACACATTCACGCCTCAATCACCATCACGTCATCAACTTTGATATCAAGTTCAGACGATTATTCGCGTACATAATGAGTGAATTTTGTTCACACATATTCAAGAGTCGTTTAAATAACTAAATCAGTGTTTAATGTTGTACGTAATCAGTCTATCGAGTTATGTGTTCTTGTCCAGCGTCAAGAAACATATTTCATTGGAATGGTGAACATTATGTAAGCAAGCTCGTCAACTCCCATCCAGTTTATCAGTTTACCAATGTGCTAAGGAACGAAATGTTTGAGATGTAGGACGTAAATAACCACTTACTATTGATATAAGGTCTTGATTTCATAATCATGAATGTTATAGTAATATATAGATCTGTCAAAATGGACAACCTATGTGTTGAACTCATTTCATTTCTGTATATTATTATGACTACTGATATATTTTCAGTAGTTTATGTTACTATTCCACATTTCTAAACTTGAAAGGTGTAGCAGCAATGAATGCATCGTCAAAATGATTATTTCTGTAATTCTTCAACAATGACACTAACACTGACATCATTGATTTCACTAGACACACTGTAGCGGGATCCGCTCGGTGATGCATCTACAGTAGATGACCGTTGGGTAAGCCATGCAACGCATCTGTCCACATCAACCGGCAAGAATAGCTCGCTCACTCCTTAATATCTGAACAATTGTACAAACGTACCTTCACCCCTCCTTATTCCTAACTTCCAACTAAACTCGCCTTCGGAAGTTGTTGACCCGAAAATTGTGATGAACGGCAGTGTTATCCAAATCTGATTAATCGAGACATACTCTAAGTCTCATATGCAGTTGTTTGTAGATATGGATGGATATCAGTTGTCTATAAGAGGTGATTTTTTTCCAGCTACATTGACATTATTTCAACACAGATGACATCATAATTTCTTTTTTCATTACTTCGTAGTATAAAAATCTACGAGTTTTTTTATGTAAGTGAGATCACAGAATCTCCAACCAACTCGGTCATGGGCTTCCCTTTCCAGTTCTGTCCAATGTTTGTTCATTCCTCTCATATATTTCTCTATTTCTCGGCGTAATATGTTCTTTGACCTTCCTCTTTTCCTTTCACCTTGAGGGTTCCATGTGAGGGCTTGTCTCGTGACGCAGTTGGGTGCTTTTCATAGTGTATGTCCTATCCACTTCCACCGCTTCTTCCTGATTTCCTCCTCCACTGGAATCTGTCTGGTTTGTTCTCTCCCACAGTAGGTTGTTGCTGATAATGTCTGGCCAACGAATACGAAGTATTTTTGGTAGACTACTGTTAATAAAGACTAATATCTTCTGAATGATGGCTTTGGTAGTTCTCCATTTTCCGCTCCATACAGTAGAACTGTCTTGACATTTGTATTGAAAATCCTGATTTTGGTTTTGGTTGAAAGTTGTTTGGAGTTCCAGATATTTTTCAATTGTAGAAATGCAGCCCTTGTTTTGCCTATCCGCACCCTCACATGTGCATCGGATCCACCTTAGTAGTCGATGATGCGAATGTGAGTAATTACTTCAAAATCAACCCAATGTAGTTCTGTGTTTTTATACTTCTCCTCTGAAAATTCTGTGTTTTATTAATTTCTATGTGATGTGATTACAGTGTTTTATAGTATACTGGATAATGTAATGTACAGTGTTCAATATTCAATAACTAACTAATCACATATAATTGAATCCAGAACAATAATTAAGACACAATAACAAGAATTCATTGAAGATTTGATGATGTGATCCATATCGACTACTTGCAACCATATAACTGTAATGTTGTGTAACAAGGTGGTATGATGTCATTACGAAGCAAGTGACCTAATTGTCTGAAGGAATAAAATTAGAAAACTTTATTAATAATAATAATCATGGTAATATTATCGATTTGCATTTGTGTTGGACCACTGATTGAGTTCATTTACACACGGAGCTCATACAGAAAACACAAATGGAAACGAAACAGTCTTTAATTAATGAAGTTCACAAACTGATGAGATGTTTTGTGTAGTAATTACATAAATGTAAACAATAACCAAAGCCACTTTCATTTGCATCATTGAATAGAAATGATGGTAATTTCATTTCACTCAAGGTGAATGAGTTGTCTGCAGTAAAATCGAATAGTGTGAAAGAATGTTAATAAATAGGTTTGAAGTGATATCATGTCATATATAGTCTATGAAAGTCAAATGATCTAATAGTCGGCTGTTTTGAGCTACCGGAATAACGAAAACTGTTCAATTGATGTCTACTCAGAACAGCAATAAACGGAATTTGTAATAATGACTAACTATTAGTTATGTAATAGTTGGAATCGATGAATAATTTACAAGTCAAACAAACGAACATGTTCCATGATACGTCGAAATGCCTGACCAGTTCTTCCCGCTTTCTAATTCTGTTGTTCTAAGAATTATCAACTCATCACTTAAATGAAACTGCACAATCTTCATAATCATCTAATCCAATATCTTTTTCACGAGCTAGTTTAAACCAATTTGATTTCTTCGTGCTCGATTCTTGTTCTTTCGGTACAGTTCCAGTGGTGCGCGCTACTTATAAGTAGTATATGACGCGAGTGAAAACGTAATGTCTGGCAGCAGAAGATGGGGGAAGATGAAGAAAGGAAGAGTGGGAACACAATGGAATTTGTATGAAACGCATGAACAATGAAATGTCAGACAGTCGATTGATGATGTATTGATGTTTTGCAAATTAACGGTTTAAGATATGGTTTCCCTATTTTACCAATTAACTCTGTAATTTTCGTTAAATACAATTCGGTTGCCCTCACCTATGTTCTCCTTCACTACACCAGGTGTTCGCTAATGTCCAATCGGTAGAGGTCTAGCCACTTGACTGTCTAATTCTAGTCAGTTGGCTGTTGGTTTTGAGTTTGTATGTCTTGGGATTTGAATGAAATCGTTTGTTTCAGGCCAGTAGGGTTTCTGGATACCAGCAGCCGTCACATTACCAGACCGGAGATCAGTTAGTTGCAACTATCATCTACTCATCAGTCATTGGCTTCATGAGGAAATTCTCAGAGTTCTAATGAGAAGTCGTAGAGATCAACCATGCAGAATATGAAGCATGTACCCAACAAAGACAATGGTGGTGCTTTATCGCGGATTGATTGATGTTAGATATTAACAGTACTCTTTGAAACCATGAATCGATCAATGTTAGACCACCATTAGAAACCTGGAAGAAGCACTGGACGGCCGTTTCGTCCTGGTATGGGACTTCTTAACAGTGCGCATCCAGTAGTGTAACACGACGCAATGGTCAATAGTTTAATTGTTGACATAAAGAGTACTTCAAGCAGTAGTTTTCATAATAATAGTAATAAAAATAATGGTAATA